ATTTCCATTAGAAACTAAAACTAAATGATTTGACATCTTCAAATCAAAATGTTTCATTTCAACTTGGTTCAGCCTTAACCAGAGATGCCTCAGTGACTCATGGGAGCTGAATTTGTGTCTTATACCTCCATTTCCTGATGTGGGCCAGGCTCCCTGGTCATACTACATCACCCATGATGCACCATGGTCACATGAGTTCCATGAGGCATGGTGTTGGTTTAACCAAAGGGGAGACCGTGGTGTGTCATAGAGGTGTAGTCTAGCCATGGAACCCACCCCATAGAGAAGAATGGAGGTAGGAAGCATCCAAAGTACAACTCCCATGAGGTGCTGTGGCAGCCGAAGCATACCCAAAGTAAAGTCATACTGACCGAAAACAACCTGAAAATGAAATATTTAGTTTAGATTTTCCTGATGGAAAATTGACACATTATTTTCAAAATAATTCCCGCCGAAAATTTTGATTTTGCAGAAACTGCATTTTCTGTCAAAAAAATATTTCGACAGAAAATTCCTGACTAGCTCCAATATTAAGCTCTGTACAAAAAGCATCTCTATATAGCAGATATGTTCAGATGCAATAGAACCTCAATTACAGAATATAATTTTTTAACCTGTCAAACTAAGCAAATTCTTGACAGGTTTCCTAGCCTAGTGTCGGAAATATGAAATAGGTAATTGCAAAAAATGTCAGGGTTAATTCTCCAAACAAACTGGAGTTCTAGAAGCAAAGAGTCCTCGAACTGTCAGAGGTCTCTATATGCATTCTGGTGATTAGATGTGAATTAATCTGACTATAATAATTGTCAGAGCCTCAAAACGTTTGGGGATTTGATAAATATACAGAAGCTTGGATGCTTATCCAAACCTGTATGCCTGAGTATATCTCTCTTTTTTCTTTGAGTGCTAGTCCCTATGTGTATTCCACTGTGGGTATGCATGTGCTCGATGCACCTGAGACTGGAGAATTCTTGTAAGTCTCTTGTTCCAGGACAGCACCCGTGCCCTCCTCGGGCTCCACACCAAGAGCATAAAGGGCAGGGCAGACCAACCACCTCTCCAGTTCTTTCTTACTGCTGCATGGCCTGGGTTGGAATCCTCCAGTGTCCAGAGCTGATCGTTCTCTTCTCCTGTAAATATTCAAGTTATGCTGTTCTCAGGGATTTTTAATTGTTAGTTAGTGTTTTATAGCTCCCCAGTTACCCAGTGTTAGAATCCCCACCCTGGGAACTCTCCTAGTCACTTGGCGGGGTACTTAGATTTTGCTCAACATATCAGACTTCAAAAACTGTGTCTCCTGCCCCCACTCCTGTTCAGTTAGCAACAGCCACCAGGGTTCCCTCTGCTGCCTCAGAGATGCTCAAATCTCTGCTAAGTGCAGTACCTGCCACTCTTTTCCCAACCAAACGTGGCAAGCATGAGAACTTCAGCTTTGGAAGCACCTTATACATTGGCCAGGGTCAGCAAGAAGCACTCTCTTGAGTACTACGTCTGACTCCAGAGTGGAGACAGGAGTGGGAAAGACCTTTTGGTTGGGCCTCCTTATGAGAATAAGGGGCACTCTCACAGATGTCAAAGCAGATCCACTTTTAGACCCTCAAAGAGGAGAGATCCCTCCCCAACCTTCTACAAGTCAGGTGAGCCTTCACGCTCAATTCATAACACCTGAGGCCCTCCTAAAACTTAATGGCCTCTTCAAAAGACGCATAGGAGCAAGATTTCTTCTGTATCAGCATCTGCATCAACTTGGACACTGACTGTGGTGCCACCTAAAATGAAGCACTGGGACAAGAAGGACAAGGAACCACCGGTACTGTCGAAAACTCCACAGATGGAGACTCAATCACCAGTGGTACCATCATGGCCACATAAGGAACCGCCATCTATGCCTACTAAGGTGGCACAGAGTGACAAGACACAGCCTCCAACGGTGCAGGTGATTTATACCACTATGAACTATATCTTTGACCTCCCAGATCTACAATTTCCCTTGTTATCAGGACTGAATCTCATCAGAGAGATACAAATGCCTGTGGGAATCCAGGACTCTGGAAGAAGTCTATCCCCACCCAGTTCACTAGCCCTGGTTTCCTATCCACGGATCTGTTGGCACTGCCAGTGGACCCAGATCCAACTTTTGCATCTTTGGGAATATTGCTTGTTAGTCACTCACAGTGACATACACATAGCAACTAGCACTCAAAGAAGAAAGAGAAGTTACTTGCCTTGTTATAATTGGAATTCGCTAAGATACGTGGTCCCCATCTGTGTTCCGCTACTAGCTCTTCTTCCCCTCTGCTTCAATCATGACTAGATTTGCAATAGAAAAGGAACAAGGGAGGCAGTCTACCCTGCCCCTTACACCCTCAGAGTGGCGCTTGAAGCGAGCAGGGGCACAGACATGGACTAACAGTTGCTAATTGAAAGAATTCTCCAGTCTCAGGCACATGGAGTGCATGCATAACCACCATGGAATACAGATAGGGACCACACATCTCAAAGAACTCCAGTTACAGCAAGGTAAATAACTAACTTCCTTTTATTGTGACACATTGAAGTTGTTACATCACCCTGAATCCAAGGAAGACAATAAAATCTCTTTACACAGCTAGTAACTCTACATGGTTCTGTGTAATTCACCATGATTTCTAACATTAGTCAATTATATCTTTCTGTGACAGGCCAACATGAGAGTTCTTTTTTGAAGTTTTTTTTTATTTATTTGAGAGGAAAAAGAATAAACAGACAATAAAAGACTGAGACGCATGTAATGAAATCCTTTCTTTGGCTAAGGAAGCAAACTGAATTTTCCCGCCGCCTATGTAGCATAAATAAAACATGCCATATATTAGAGTAATTCACCCATTACAGAAACCATACATTAAGGAGAATCTTCCTTCATGTGAAGAGTGGGGAAAGCATGTGATCAGCTCCATTAAATCTTTTGAAAAATCAGCTAATTTATGAAGTTGTTTTATTTCTTAAGAGTTAGCTTAAAATATTCTTTCCAAACACTAATGAAGATGAACTCTCAGCTCTTATTGTGGCTTGAAGGTTAATACAAACATTATATTTGTGCTTAAACATATTAATTATTGAGGATGTTCTGTTTTAATCAGATCAGCCCTTTGACGCCAGAAGATAGCAATGCTGATAGAAGAGGGAATATGGTCTAGTGATGAAAATAAAGGGCAAGGAGTCAAATCAAAGCTCTTTTCCCAGTACTGGCATGAAGCATACTATGTGGTCTTGGTTAGCTCATAGAGGATCTGACCCAAAGCCCATTGAAATCAATAGGAGTCTTTCTATTTATGTCAGTGGGCTTTGGATCACACCCAAAAACTTTGTTCCTCTGTTTACTTATCTATCAAATTGATATAATTAACCATTGCATGGGAGTATTGTGAGGCTTAAGTCATTAATGTTTGGAAAACATCTATGAGATATTTGGGTGGAAAGTGGTATGGGGTGCAAAGTACTATTATTACTGGTTACAAGTGTAGTCTTCCATATGTGCTCCCTCCCTCTCCAACACAAGCACACCTACACAGGAATTCTTATCTGTACATGCCGTCCCCCAATCCCTAGTATTATCCCTTGTTTCACCTGCAAGTGCCTTAACCAGACTCCTCCACCCATCTGCAGAACCCTCTTGCTATCTCTCTTTGGCAAGTTCTCATCTTCCCTGTGATTTTCCTAGCCAGTTCACATACCCTCTTTCTTTTCCAGTCATGACAAATGACAAGACACCAACTTGTCGTCTGTTTAGACTGTAAGCAGTTTGCGGCAGCAACTGTCTCTATTTTGTCTTGTATGGCATCAAGCACGTTGTTGGTTCTTACCAAATAATAAATACTAATAACAAAGTGACCCTTTCCCTCAGGGCCGCCTAACAAAGGCCACGAATGCTTGGTTCCTACTGTCATCTGCAAATTCATAGACGCATAGAATTTAAGGTCAGAAAGGACCATCATGATCACGACCTCCTGCACATCGCAAGCCATAGAACCTCACGCACCCACTCCTGTAATAGATCTTAACCTCAGGCTGAGTTACTGAAGTCTTCAAATCATGGTTTAAAGCAGGGGTAGACATCCTATGGCACACGTGTCAAAGGCGCACGCTGATTTTCAGTGGCACTCACACTGCCCGGGTCCTGGCCACCAGTCTGGGGGCTCTGCATTTTAATTTAATTTTAAATGAAGCTTCTTAAACATTTTAAAAACCTTATTTACTTTACGTACAACAGTAGTTTATATATTCTAGACTTATAGAAAGAGACCTTCTAAAAATGTTAAAATGTATTACTGGCACGCGAAACCTTAAATTAGGGTGAATAAATGAAGACTCGGCACACCACTTCTGATAGGTTGCCAACCCCTGGTTTAAAGACTTCAAGTTACAGAGAATCCACCATTTACTCTAGTTTAAACCAGCAAGTGACCAATGCCCCATGCTGCAGAGGAAGGCGAAAACCCCAGGGTCTCTGCTAATCTGACCCAGGAGAAAATTCCTTCCCGACCCCAAATATGGCAATCTGTTAAACCCTGAGCATGTGGGCAAGATCCACCAGGCAGATACCTGGGAAAGAATTCTCTGTAATAACTCAGAGCTCTCCCCATCTAATGTCCCATCACCAGCCACTTGAAACTCTCTGCAAACTGCACATTGCCTCCCCAGAAAACCCTCTGGCACAGCCTGGAAGAGCAGCCAATTCCCAGGTGCACACCTAGCTTGAATTTTTGTGCCATTCTGTAGCTAAAGGGTGCATTTTGTATAGACCCTGGGTCATAATAATTAAAAATGGCAAAGTCTTAGTAGGACATAGATATAATCAGCAGGAGCAGCTGCTGCATCCTCAAGTATATCACTCCCTGCCAGTGTGGCACATAGTTCTCCTGACAGAGGACATGCTAAAGAAGTGTGTGATCCTGCACTTGGACCTGACTGCTGCTATGGGATGTTATATCATTGATTGTTCTCTATCATTGTTCTCGTAGAAACTATATAGAAAAGAAATCAAGCCACCTTTTAAACCAGCGGTGGGACGGCCAGAAGACACGTTTCATTTTGACCCGGAGTTCACATCACGGACCCCTACAGGTTAGCATCAATCATGAGATGGAACAGCAGTGATGGATATTTTCAGTTAATAGCTCCACCCCCACTAAAGTCAATAGGCCTGATCATTTGTGGAATCAGTGGGCCTTGTCGGGTCAAGCCAGCAGGAAGCTGTGAGTGCTCAGCATTTCTCAGGAACAAGCCCATAGTTACTTCTCCAACTTGTCATTGGGTATGTCATCCAGAAAGGAAAGGTGTCTGATATTACCGAAACTAAAGAAAAATTGCAGGTTTTTATTGTTTGTATTTTTTATTTTTATTTTTTTGGTTAGGTTAAATAATTGTAACTGTTTTAAATGACAACAATTTCAAAGGATTTGGCCGCTGTGCAAGTTAGTATGTAACTGTGTTACACTTCTGTCTGATTTAATTGTGAAATGCCCTAGAACACTCTGACCAGTGGAACTTGATGAATGGTAACCCTCATGGAGAGGCAAATTCTCTGCTGGCAAAACTCCAGTGAAGCCAGTGGATTTATGCCGGCAGAGAATTCGGCTCATAACATCCAACTGGTTAATGACCAATAAATGCTCCAGATGGGACTGTTGTTCCTATTTTTATTCATAATTTCCACTTCAGACTAGCGATAACATATGCCGGGCAGTTGTTACCCTTGTGGGTCAGTCTTTTGAACAGACAACAGTGGTACCAGTAACCTCCTAAGCACCAATCCCAGCTGCAGCACTGACTCTCTGTGACCCTGGACAAATCATTTAACCACTCTGCCACAGTTTCCCCATCTGCAAAATGGACACAATAATACTTAACTATGTGCCCCACCAGTGCAAAGAGTTACTTTTTATTGTTTGTAAAGCCCTTTGAAGATGGTAAGTGCTATAGATAATGTTAAGTATTAGAATAAAATTGCAGCCTCTGGCTTCAAGTTTCAACCCCCAGCTTGTCTCAGAATTATAAGAAATGAGTGGATCAGTTCTGATAAGAATAAAACCACTAGAGATGGATCATGGCACTTGGACCCAAAGCTGAACTTTCCCATAGTTTTGGTTCAGGCTGACTGTGGTTTTGCCTAAGGCCTCGCTCTTAAAAATAATTCAGATCTTCACCCAAAGCTTGACTCAAACTTTTCACGGTGTGAAAAATGCTTGTAACACTTTATTTTGATCACCCCTTTACACTTCCTAATTTTTTGCTACGGTCAGGCTCTTGAGGGCTGTTGCAGGCACAGGGAGAGCTGCATCCCCTGTAGGGTACCAGACATTTTTACACCACTATTTGTACATTTAATTCAGATCTCTATGGAACCTGGAGGCACATCTGTGAAATGCTGGAAACTTCACAAGCTAGTCTGTTCTTGTGAGATTTGTGGTCTGGCAGTTAGTTTGAAGAAGGTGAGAGACACATTTGGACATCTAAATGCTTTTGGGGTTCACGCTTTGCCAGTTTTATTGGCATGAAAACCACGGTCTGCCCGAGTGTGCTGATGAACAGAATTACATAGTTAATACTACATATGTTTCTTTTCACAGGTATTTTCTGATCATTAACTGTCAGATTCAATTTGATATTTTGTGCAAAACAGACTTACATGGGGACTCTTCTTTAAATTATTTGGCCTGAGCCCCATTTGCATTAAGACCCTCTTCCAGTGCCAGGGCACAAGTGATTACAGCACAGGAAGGCATACCGATGCTGGCTTTAATCTATCTAGCACAGGTAACAATAGTAGTGAAGTCATGGCAGCACAGACTTCAGCATGGGCCAGCTGCCCCGGTACAGTCCCGCCAGGGAACCTGGGTACATACTCAGGTTGCTAGCCCACGCTGAAACCTGTGCCACCACATCTTCACTATTCTTGTTACCTTCGGTAGCTAGATTAAAGCTAGTGCACGTATGCCTACACACGCTACAGTCACACCTTCATTTGCAGAGTAGATGTCTAAATAAGAATCAGGCCCAATAATTTTAAAATGGGTGTAAATGTGATCGGTTGCCACTTTAAGACCCCCCCCCCCCCG